CCCTTTAACCCAATCTCGATTTCCGACCGGCGATTCTCTCTCTCTCTATTTGATTTCCGATCGGGAAAAACTCGGTTTCTGATTGGAACTCGTTCTGCCGATCGTGGGGTCGTCTCTCTCGTGGGAGTCCTTTGAATTCTACTGATTTCGTTGTTGTGGCGTCTTGAATGGTTGAAACAATTCCGAGAAGCAACGATTTTATGCTCTCTCTTTGCGCCACCGCAAGGGCGAGCTTTCTCCACCGCCTCTCCGCCACCTCTGCCTTCGCGTTCGGATCCTGCAAGGAAGGCTGGTACTTCCGCTGCATCGGCCTCGACCCTTGAACCCGATCGAAACCCTAGTCCCCTTTTTTGTTCCTTCGTTCGTCACATCTCGATCCAAAACCCTGTTTATTTCAAGAGTCTTAGATATTTCCTTGCGCTTCCTGGTCGATCCGTTTGCTCGCTCGATTCATCCGTTGAGGATCGATGATGTTGCTGTACAACAAGCAGAAGAGAAACCAGAACTCTAAGGGGAACAGGTTCCTGGTGAGCATCAACGTTCTGGGAAGTGCTGGACCAATCCGATTTGTTGTCAAGGAAGATGAAACTGTGGCCAATGTTATGGTTTACGCTCTGAAAAGCTATACCCGCGAAAGGAGGCTTCCCGTTCTCGGATCAGATATCCACGATTTCGTACTCTATTCTCCTTACTCCGCCGCTGAAGGTAAAAGAGAAACCTTGCCCTATCCCCATCTCATTTTCTGCTAAGACTTTCATTGCAATGATGGCAGATTTTGCCTGTGGCTTTGCCTTCTTCCCTGGGCAGTGTATGCTCTTCTCTAGGATTCTTGGTTGTTTTGGTGTTAGAACGACAGTACGTCGGAATTGGAATACTACTACGTCTGTACACCTCTAAGTGATTAAGAAATTAGCGAACTTTTCGACCATGTATGCTGAGTCTTTGGTGTGTGTCACTGTTTACGAAGATTGATGTGGTTTATATTGCAACATTCGTTACATGTTCAGTGGTGTGGGCTAGATTGTGTTGTTTACTCGTGTTTGCGTGTAACAATGTGAAGTGAAGTCCTGGGGATACAAACACGTTTTATGTTGGAACAAGTTAACTTGTAAATGTTCGGTGCTGTTAACAGGGGCTAGAATCAAATCGGGTTTCTTTTTAATTGTTTATGTCGTAAGAATTCATTACATTTGGTTTAATGTCGGATGCCGTTCTTTCTTTATCTGGGATTGGCACTGGCTAAATATGAGCGAATTCAATGTATAGGCGAAGTTTCTTTTCTTTTTCTGTAATTGTGTGTGTTTGAATATTGCAGCATTGAAACCATGGGAGATGATCGGGGTGACGGGGTCGAGGAACTTCATCCTGTGCAAGAAGCCCGAGACTGGAGAGGTCGGGGAGTCGAAAAGCAGCACACCACTGGTCACGAACAGGAAGACGTCCGGGAGCTGGAAGGCATGGCTGAACAAGTCTCTTGCTCTTATGATCCCTTCCCATTGACAATCTCCCTGTCATGATGATTGGTTGGTGTGTTTTTTTTTTAACATCTTATGGTCAGTCGCTATGTTTCGAAATAAAGAAAACACTGATGGAGTCTGAAGTTAGACTGAGAACAAGCAAATCTTGTGTTATGTTTTTTTTTTTTATGTTAAGCGTTGGTCACTGCTTTTAAAAAAAACGAATATTCCGTGATTTCG